TTCTAATGTCCGATCAGAAGATTTGTTAAATGAAGAATTTTTAAGAATTAAAGATATGAGTTCAACAAAGACATTAGGTATTCGGTGGAATGCCTTAACTGACTCATTTTCTTATAGTATGAAGTCACTAGAGGTGACTTCCCCGATAACTAAAAGGAAAATCTTGTCAACCATTTCGAAATTATTTGACCCAGCAGGGTGGTTAACGCCTTTAATTATACAGGCAAAAATTTTGCTGCTAGACATTTGGTTAGAAGGTGTTAATTGGGATGAAATAGTAAGTTCATCCACGTATGCTAAATGGAAAACATTTTTGGATCAATTTTCAAGTATTGATTCTATTCAAATACCAAGATGGATTAATTATTGCCTAGAGGGCAATATACAATTTCATGGATTTTGTGACGCTCCTGAAAAAGCGTATTGTGCGCAGTATACGTTCGAATGGACACAGGATCAAAGTCATCAGTAAACTTGTTAATAGCGAAAAGTAAAGTTGCTCCATTAAAAAGAGCAAGCTTGCCAAGATTAGAGCTTTGTGGTGCCGTATTGCTCTCATCTTTGGTGAAGTATGTTGTCCCCAAATTAGATGTGAAAAATTATTCTGTCCACATGTGGACAGATTCAACAATTGTATTGGCATGGTTGCAAAAACATCCATCCACATGGAATACTTATGTTTCAAATAGAACCGCAACTATATTCAAAAATATCGAAAATGCAACTTGGAGACATGTTTCTTCGAAATGTAATCCTGCAGACCTTGGAACAAGAGGTTGTAATTCTGTAGAGTTAAGTAAATGTTCGCTATGGTGGAATGGCCCAATGTGGCTATTAAGTCCTGGTAATAATTGGCCAGAATCTAATATGGTATCGAAAGGTCCGCCAGTAAAGCGAAATATTGAAGTACATATACATACATACATATTGAAGTACATTGTGCACCAATTATAGAGAAAGATGACTATAAGGAAATGATTCAAAATTTTTCTTCTTATAACAGAACATTGTGGATTATAGGATATATGTATCGTATGAAGAATAAGCAAAAAAAAATGAATATTAAGATGGAGGATGTGGAAAACTTCTATCTCAAGATGAGTTGAATCACGCTAAGATGGTTCTAGCCCGAATGGCGCAAAGGGTTCATTTTCCCCAAGAATATAATGATTTAACTAAATCAAAAATTATATCACGAAAAAGTCCGTTACGTGCTTTGAATCCATTTATGGATGAGAATGGGGTAATGAGAGTTAATGGACGTCTAGCTAATGCAAATGTTTCTAATGACGAACGATTTCCAATAATAATTCCAAGTTCGTCTCATTTATGTAATATATTCTTGGAATTTATCCACAAAACATTAATGCATGCTGATGTAAGACTTATGATGTCCATGGTCCAATTTTACATCCCTAGACTAAGAAGAAGTGTTAAAAAAGTAGTGCATAATTGTGTAATTTGTGCAAGATACAAACAAAATGTTAAATCACAGATAATGGCTGCCTTGCCTATAGAGAGAACTTCTTTTTCACTTCCCTTTACCTATGTTGGAACGGACTTTGCAGGTCCATTTCAAATTAAAAGTGGCAATTTGAGAAATTCACCATATCAAAAGTCGTATGTATGTATATTTGTATGTTTTTCGACAAAAGCCATCACTATCTACAGAAGCGTTTCTTGCAACATTTACACGATTCATAGGTAGAAGAGGTTTGTCTAGATGTTTAATGTCAGATAATGGAACCAATTTTGTGGGTGCCAGTCGTACTCTCTCGAGGGAATATCATGAATTTATAAAAAAAAATCCTCCAAAGAAATTTCAGAGAAGTATATTGTTAATGGCTTCGAGTGGAAGTTTATTCCACATAGCGCTCCACACATGGGCGGATTATGGGAAGCAGGAGTTAAAAGTTTTAAGACACATTTCAAAAAGGTAATGTCTGAAAGAAAGTTCAATTTTGAGGAATTTGCCAGTGTTTTAGTGAGAATAGGAGTGTATTAAACTCTAGGCCTTTAACACCATTGCCAGAGGATCCGCAAGATTTAGAGGCTTTAACTCCAGCACATTTCCTAAGAGGTGGAGTATTATTATTCGCTCCGGAAATGCCTATTGACGATTTATCGCTAATAAATCGTTGGGAAAAAATAAAAGCCCTACATCATACCTTTACTAAGAGATGGAAAACAGAATATATCCAGGAACTCCATAAAAGATACAAATGGCAATATCCTAAACGAAATATTCAAGAGAATGACTTGGTACTAATAAAAGATGAACTGCTACCTCCGAATGACTGGAAAAGTGGGACGTGTGGTAAAAGTGCATGATGGGCACGATCAACACTTACATAATAATGAATATGGGCCAAGGTGAAGTCTGTCAGGTTTGCTACGGTATTCATCACCTGAGGAACTGTTCCGCCTTTCAAGTGATGACGGTGGAGCAAAGAGAGAGTGTGGTATTGGCCCGCAAATACTGCAAGAACTGCCCTCGGACGGAGGTAGCATAGAGTTTGCCAGGTATCACCCGTATGCCAATCAAAGAGGGCAGCGAACCCAACAGCAACAACAAATTCTTGCTCAGCTGCAGACACGCCACGCGCACACAGTCACTGAGACTAAACCAAGGCAAAAAAGCGGAAGCAACATCAGAATAAACAACAGATTGGTTTGCAGAAAACACAAACTAACAACAAACATCGGCGAGATAAAACAACCAAAAAACAGAGTAAACAACAAAATCAACATGCCGCACAACAGACACAGCAACAGCCCGGAGAAGAATAACCTTTACTGCCGCAGCCAGAAATGATGGACAGGTTCCTGAGTGTGCTGGAAAAAATAGCAACAGCTTTAACGGTTGCACCAGTGCAAGGGGCCCGGCATGTTGGGAATAGACCCAACCCCATAGATGATGATATCGATTTGGACCTTATCGATCTCGATAATTAAAACTATCGATGAGGTCACATTGTCAAGGAGTTTTTGATTGGCACTCTTCGTCTTGAAGTTTAAAAAAAGTGGATCGCCAGATCAAACAAAATTTGTGAATTTTTCATTACATAAAATTGACGACGATCATTTTTAAGTTGAAATTGCTTGTGCTTTTTTTCTTTTGTGCGGACAACAAACGTAAGTATCGCCAGAATACTTTTGTGTTTGTTTGTAGTTTGCTAAATAATATTGTTGTTCGTCTTTGTGCAACAATAAATTCCGGCTCAAAATCTACTCAGTAGAATTTGAACCACAACAAGTCCATACGACGGTATTGGAACTTGTACACACTGCGCACCAATTATTTAGAAAACGGAGAACGATTATAATAAGTGATCAATTTCAATTTTGCTGTCACTGCCTTTATGACTCCAATTCCTTCATAGTAGATGCCGGGCTTATTATCAAACTTGTGTATTTTGAACGAATAACACAGTCATAGAAATACAATAGCCACAAGCATATTATCAATAAGAGCATGAACTCTTTAAAGTCTTTGACGACGGCCCTTCACTAGCTCTCCCTTTCTGTAGGCGGTACAGATTCCAAGATTTGACTGTGCAACTGTAGTTTCGCTCGGGTGCAAATGAACCATACCAAGGATGGGTTTTAAAATTCGTCGTAATATGATAAGAACATCGCGTGTTTTGTGTTGCTTCTTCCAACATGCAATCGCTCTTAGAATGTCTCTCTTATCTAGACACAGAGTCAAACCGTGTATGGAGCTTGATTTCTCCAATATTCCATGTTTCTCAACAACTGTATTTCTTTTGCGAAATGTGACACTTGGATGGTCTTGGCTATTAGTTGCATCGCCTGATTAAAACTAAAAACTTCTATCAAGCTACCATGTCCTTTTATCCTCTCGGCAAACGAACATAACCGAAAATATGTTGTCGACAGCTAAATGAAATTATGTTGTTGATTCTATAGATGAATCTGGTAACCCACTCTTTGAGAAAATTGATTGATTGGCATTGTAGATTTCATCTTAAATTTAATATCAGTTTGAATTTTTCCATTCTTTAAGAAAGGTTCTGACCAGAGTGATAAACTACCATGTGGATTTGTGGGTGCATTAAACTACAACATATATCCTGAAAACAGTTCTAGTTTCATGTCTCTGTTTATAATATATACGACCAATTAATAGTCCTTAGAAAGTGATCTCCTATAGTGGTACTATTTTTTTTTTTTTTATTTTTTTTGGAATAAACGAGTCTGGCAGCATAGCCCGAAGATTCATCGCAGCTTCATATGCCTATCAGACACGCTCATGCAATCGTCAACGTAAAAATTATTTTGAAGTAACATCGCCCTCAATTGATATTTCTGAATTTTCGTATCTGCTAGCCTTTTAAGACAACTCTTACTATGATGTGGGGCACACGTTGTACCATACGATATCATATTCAACATGTGATGTTCTATGTTTTTATGATCACAAATCATGCCAGTCCAAGTCCTCTTTTGATTGTATTTTCGCCATGTATCCCACATCCTAATGATCCTTCTTACTCTCAATAGGCTTGCAATATATTTTTGTTTAGTATTTATACATTTAGATATCATTACTTCTAGCATTAAATGTAAATTAAGTAATAAATTACCTCAGCCAACAACCCATGGAGTTGTGAAAATAATTGAGCTGTTTCTTTATTCAGTTCATTGACCTGCTTAAATAAACAATAACATTTATTTAGGTCAGTTTTATGGTAACATACTTTTCGCTTTTTTCTCAAAACTGCTTCTTAATCTCAATCCTAACCATTAAGAGAGACCCCAGTGCCAAGTACTATCTGTTCGCTTTTTTATCCATATTGATCCACCCATTCCCAACAGATTCAATTATCAACAAACGATAATCTCTGAAAATATAAGTACACGACTAAAGTGCTATTTAGATTTCCTATACTAATACAAATATGACTTCTATATTCATATTAATCGTAGTTCTTACTCAAACGTATATAATAATATCCTTTATTATTAAACATTTTCAGGAGTCGCACATTCACTTGGTGAAACTTACACGTTTATTACGTTTAGCACGTTTACTGCAAAAGATGGACAGATATTCACAGTACACAGCAATGATTCTAACGTTATTGATGCTCTTGTTCTCTCTAGTGGCTCATTGGTTGGCTTGCATTTGGTATGTGATTGCTGAAAAGGAAAACACGTTTAATGAACCTGGCTGGGACATAGGTAAGTAACCACATTTTGTACGTAATACTTTGAAAGACCTAGAGGAAATAATGGTATCCATACTTTCCATATTTTGTCTGTTATTATGGTTAATTATACTATTATTTGACTTTTTTATAAACTCAGGGATAAAATGTAGAGTATTTTAACTTTGTCATTCCGTCTGTATCTACTCGAAATACAAATCTTAGACCCAACCATGTAAAAATATATATTTTTGTCTGTCATGGCGTCTTTCGAACGAATTGAGATAGAATGAGGATTTTTTTTTTGTATTTTGCCAGAAGACAGGTTAAGTTCGCAACTGACACATGTCCACGTGCTTCTATAGCCCCCATATAACCGTAGATACCGATATTCGGTATCTTGACGATATAGATCACATTTTCCGTAATGACAGAACACCTGTGGCAGATTATGGTTTATATAGGTTCTCCCCATATTTTAGTAGTTTCCAATATTCTGTATTCTATTGATTTTACCCACATTTTGCAGGAAAATTGTTTGAAATTCGGTATGTAGAGTTCGTAATAGGTACTGTATCTGTGGCAAAAAGCCTGCTCAATATTTCTTATATGACTCATAAATCTGTACCCCTTAATATAATTTCATGCACATTCTTTAACAGAGTACTTTAAAATTTGGTTTTTAAATTCGCAGTAAATAATAGTTACTCATGGTCCGCCCGAACCAAACGCGTTTGTATAAGTTGATTATTATATTATTATTATATATTATCATCGAAAACGTCAAAATACCGAATAGATATATTTTTGACAGAAGCCTCCTTTCTGCAAGAGAGCCAAACGACCAAATTGCAGATAATTTAGAAAATAATACGTGTAGCAGTACAACTCATTATGGTGCTCTTGAACAATAATTGCTAGCCGGCATTTTAGATCTTGGTTCTTACGTTTAACAGGATTTGCTTCGGGATGGTAAACTGGAGTGAATTGTTGTTGAATTCCCAAGCAATAAGTTACTTTCTGCATTACAGCGGAGATAAACTGTATGCCGTTGTCCTATTTAACACGTCGTGGTACTCCGAAGCGCAGAAGTATTTCTTCTATGAGGATTTCGCACATACTTCTGCTGTAGCTTTTTTTAACTTGAAAAGTTCCATCCATCTGCTAGCAACATCTTCAACTATTAGGATCCACTTATATCCATCTTCGGTTTGAGGCAGCGGAACAAATAAATCTACTACTAACACATCAAATCGCTGCTTGCTACTGGTTGTTTTCAAAAGTCCAGCTGGTTTTAAGTTCGTTGCTTTAAAACGTTGGCAATGAATACAGCTTTTGACAAACTATCTCGTCCCAGGCCAAAAGTATCTTCTGGTAGTGCAAAAGTACCCCTCTGTTCCACAATGACCTGCCGTACTATTATCGTGACAGCTTTTTAAAATTTCTGGACGTTTCCATAATAATAAAGATTTCCATCATTTAAATTATAACTCCTATTGGTCCATTTTAGAGAATTTTCATCATGTTTCTCGAAGGACATTATTACATCTTGTAGGTAGTCATAATTTTTTTAATTTTCTCTCATCTTTGTCACGCTTTTATTTTGAATGTCAACAATGAAGGCACAAATGAATTTTTCGATACTTTTATGTTCATCTTCTGGATAACATATCCGCAACGTCATTTCTTTTCCGAGGGAGGTATACAATGGAAAGGTTATATTGTTGAATCTGTAGTCCCCATCTGGCAAGCCCAAACAATGGCTGAGGCTTTTCTTTGGGTTGTGGAGTAATTACGCTCTGCACTATTCAATAGTCGACTACCATATTCGATGGGATTCCCCTCTTGACACTGACCCTGAAGTAAAACTGCTCCTAGAGCGTATGCACTAGCATCTGTTTGTATAGCAAATGACATATTATCTATCGCTTATCTTAGAATTGGAGGGGTCGTCAAACCCTTTTTCAATGAATCAAAATCATGTTGTTCAGTTTCTCCCGACTTCCACTCTGTTGCTTTCTTGGTTAAATTGGTCAACGGTCTTGCAATCTCGGCATATCCGTTTATAAATCTCCTGTACCAGGAACATGTTTGAATGAAGGATATCAGTTCCTTAACATTTTTGGTTCTTTGCGCTCCACAATTGTCTGAATCTTTCCAGGATCGACTCTTATACTTTCAGGCGTTAAAATATGTCCAAGAAATTTCACACTTGAGGAATAAAATTTACATTTCTGGTTATTCAGCCGAAGATTGACAGCCTGTTCCACGATATCAAAAGAATGCGTTTCAATAACATTCGTTCTTTCTTTCGCATAGCCTTACGTGACGCTGTGTTGCTAATATACCTTTTAAAAATAATTCGCGAAATTAAGCAAAAAAGCGCCAGAATGACTGATTTAAAAGCGAAAAAGCATCCAGAAATACAACCATACATAAGCTGGCTCTGCCTGAACCGATAGTTCGGTTGTAAACAGACAAATGTAAATAAACAAACAAAATAACATTCCCAGTGATTGTGTTCGAATTTTTTGTGTTCTTAAAAAATGAATATTTCTGCAGCCCTATACTTTATGGATGATGTGGAGGAGCTTCAAAATGTACAACGGAGGCATTTATTTTCGAATTAGTTTGAAGTACCTAACAACCAGTAAGTATGATTGTATTTATACATTTTGGAAATAATAAACCCGTTAAAAATTCTGTTAAAATCTTAAAAATACCGAATGCTTATACGACGACGTGGGCCTGCATAGGCAACTTTTGTCATAAATTATTACAATATTTAAATGTGAAACTTGAAGAAAAATCTGTTTATAATGTAGCTAAAATCGTCAAAATACCGAATATGGGGGTACCGTTATATGGGGGCTATACGAAGACGTGGACCTGCACAGACAATTTTCTGGCATGGGCTGAAGTATCCATTACGAACTTCACATGCGAAATTTTAAACAATCCCTGTAAATAATGACTTTGTATGAAGTATCCATTACGAACTTTAAATACCAAATTTGAAACGATTCCGGTAAACAATGTCGCTAAAATCATTAAAAAACCTAATATGGGGGGGTACCGTTATATGGGGGCTACACGAAGACGTGGACCTGCACAGATAATTTTCTGTCTTAGGCTGTAGTATCCATTACGAACTTTAAATGCCAAATTTGAAAATTCCGGTGAATAATGTCGCTAAAATCATCAAAATGCCGAATATCGGGAGGTACCGTTATATGGGGGCTATATGATAACTTGGACCTACATGGCCCATTTACGAACTTAACCTGCCTATAGGGAAAATATACATGTGTGCAAAATTTTAGCCTTCTATCTCAATTTGTTCGAAGGATAGCGTGATTACAAGAGACAGACGGACATGGCTAAATCGTCTTAGAATTTTACGCTGATCAAGAATATATATACCTTGTTGGGTCTGATATGCGTATTTCGAGGAGTTACAAACGGAATGACAAAATTAATATACCCTCCATAGTATGGTGGAGGATATAAAAAATGTATTTTCCTAGGTTTGCTCTGACTTCAACAGCGAGGTCTACAATAAGCAGAACCATTGCTGAATGTCTGTAGATTTTTGAGAACTACATTTCGTGCTGGAATTGAAGAAATAAAAAAATATATTTGTTGTTGACATACTATAACTGTATTTATTATTATACCCCCCACCTTGGAAAGGAGGGTATATTAACTTTGTCATTCCGTTTGTAACATCCTTAAATATTCGTCTTAGACCCCATAAAGTATATATATTCATAATCAGCATAAAATTCTAAGTCGATTTAACGATGTCCGTCTGTCTGTTGAAATCACGATACAGCCCACATTATTTGCCGTAAAGTGCCAAAATTTAGCAGAGCTATTTGGATTTTGTCTAGGATGGTTGGTACTGAAAATGAGATATATCGGTCCACGTTCTGGTATAGTCCCCATATAACGGTACCTCCCGATATTCGGTAATTTGATGATTTTTGTCACATTTTTTCACGGATTTGTCTGAAAATTGGTATTTGTTTGTCATAATGGGTTCCAGCTTCGGTGGCGAAACATTGCATGCATGGGTCCATGATTTAATATAGCCCCCATATAACGGTACCTCCCGGTATTCGGTATTTTGCAACCTTTTTTCACGGATTTGTCTGAAAATTGGTATATGTTGGTCATAATGGGTTCCATCTCCGGTGGCGAAACATTGCATGTATGGGTCCATGATTTGGTATAGCCCCCATATAACAGTACCTCCCGATATTCGGTATTTTGATGGTTTTTGCCACATTTTTTCACTTATTTGTCTAAAAATTGGTATTTGTGGGTCATAATGGGCCCTAGTTCGTGTGGCGAAACATTGTAATTATAGGTCCACGTTTTGATATAGCACCCATATAACGGTACCTCCCGATATTCGGTAATTTGATGATTTTTGTCATGGGTTCCAGCTTCGGTGGCGAAACATTGCATGTATGGGTCCATGATTTGGTATAGCCCCCATATAACAGTACCTCCCGATATTCGGTATTTTGATGGTTTTTGCCACATTTTTTCACTTATTTGTCTAAAAATTGGTATTTGTGGGTCATAATGGGCCCTAGTTCGTGTGGCGAAACATTGTAATTATAGGTCCACGTTTTGATACAGCCCCCATATAACGGTACCTCCCGATATTCGGTAATTTGATGATTTTTGTCACATTTTTTCACGGATTTGTCTGAAAATTGGTATTTGTTTGTCATAATGGGTTCCAGCTTCGGTGGCGAAACATTGCATGTATGGGTCCATGATTTGATATAGCCCCCATATAACGGTACCTCCCGATATTCGGTATTTTGATGGTTTTTGCCACATTTTTTCACTGATTTGTCTAAAAATTGGTATTTGTGGGTCATAATGGGTCCTAGATCGTGTGGCGAAACATTTTGGTGTAGCCCCCATATAACGGTACCCCCCCGATATTCGGCATTTTAATGGTTTTTGCCACATTTCTCCTAATGTTTCTTTTACCCTAAGGTGGGGGGTATTAAA